TCAACATTTGTTTTTAAATGTGCTCTTAACTGCTGTTAATATATAAAATAATATTATAGTTATAAAGTGTATCTGTGGTTTGAAACTTCTCTGAGGTCACTACTGACATTAACACTTTATTATAGATTCTCACTTCAAAAAGTCATCAAGCATGCTGGAAGATGTTCTTCGATTTGAAAAGACCATCATCACACAGGAACAGCAAATATTGTAAGTTACCATTAGCGCTTAAATTATACCATTCGACATACCAAGTGGCGGAAAGTAACTAAGCACATTGACTCAAGTACTTAAGTAATATTTTGAGCCACTTAAACACAAAATGCTAAAAATATAAGATTTGCTTCACCTCTACCAGTTTTAATGCAAAAGTGTCCCTAAAGGCTTCAGTACTGTGTAAATTTGAATATAAAATAACACTGTTTGAGACTTTTGATACTTAGGGTTAGAACATTATAGTACAAAGTTTTTACCTGTGTTGATACTTCTCCTGGCTGCCATCGCCCTCAGGTCAATGCACACCAACCCACCTCACCCATACAGTTAGGACTGAGCACAGGTCAAGGAGCGATTTGCCACCCACGCTTCTTTCCCCTAATGTCTGAATCACTTATAATACATACATTTAAAGTCTTTGTCCAAATTTGATCGATCATTTGTTCCTTTTGCTGCTTTTTCATTTTCTTATATTCTTATTCTCGTCTTATTTTGTACATTATCATTTGATCTCCGTTGTTTCATACTGAGACATACAACTCACATTTACTTCCCTCTTTGCAGTGAACTTCAGAATTTAATTTCATCCAATGAGAGGAGAATGGCAGACTTGAAACAACTCTCCATTCAGCTCCAGCAGAAATGCAGTGAGTCCTGCAAAGAATCAGTTGAAATCCAGCCCACCACAGGAACAGGTAAAACAAAAAATCAATTTGTTCACCCTCAGGTCATTCCCATTTCACAAGAAGTGTCTCAATCATGCCTCATCTGAACAAGAGTTGTCCTTGTTCAGTGTTTGGTTACAGACTAAAATCAATATGGTGTATCAATACAAAGTAAACAGATTTGTTCTAGATGTAATTTGTTGTGACCTCATTCCAAATAAGTTATTTATACATTTTATAATGAATAGAAATGTAGACATAATTCTGTAAAAACAAATCAACATCAGGAAGAAATATGATTTCTGTCTTGTTTTATAATAAACAACACTAGTCTGCAGTGAACCAGATCATCTTTTGTGTTTTTTTGTAACATATTTAATATGTTTGTAACTTTCTTTCTTTTTCTTCCCTTTTGCCAATCAGACTGCCAGGATGTTGCAAACAAAGGTGCCACCACCAGTGGACTTTATTTTGTGAAACCAGCCAAAGCCACTGAGCAGTTCCTGGTCTATTGTGAGATTGACAGCTTTGGACGTGGCTTCACAGTAATACAGAGGGTATGCTTCACTTTATTGCCTCATGGTCAAGGATGGCTCTTCACTGTCTTCATCTTGTACTGCCTGGTTTTGTCAAAGAAGTAGACCCTACGCTCAGAAAAACGGCTTAACTGATAATAATGATTAGGGACTGGGGGACTAGGGATATATGATCAATTACTACAACTGATAAGGGAAGGGTTAGGGTCAATATAGTGAGTGTCGCCTGCCCTATTTTTCAAGCTCCCTCCTCCTAGTTTTCATCCCCTAGTGAACTACTTTTGTAAGAGTGGACTTAAAATCTATTAGAATTTGAAGAATGTTTTGTTGACAAACTGCAGAATCATGAGTCAAAATCGTGAAATTTCGTAATAAATCTTGACACTTTTTTATGTCCACAGAGACGTGACGGCAGTGTGGACTTCCACAAGGACTGGGTCCAGTACAAGCAGGGCTTTGGTTATCTCTCACCAGATGACACCACAGAGTTCTGGCTCGGCAATGAGAAGATGCATCTGCTGACTGCCAGTACCACCATCCCAACTGTGCTGAGGATAGAGCTTGTTGACTGGGAGGGCACCAAAAAGTATGTACACACTCACCCACACGCGCAATAACATATTATGTAAGAGGAGAGCAAAGAGACTCACAGGCAAGGCAAACATGACCCTGATGACACGGTTTTCCTTTGAAGAAGTAAAAAAAAAAGCAGATGTTACCAGTAGCTAACATTGATCCTCTGTGTGACCTCCTTTCTCCAGGTATGCTGACTACACCATGTTCAGAGTTGGCTCAGAGGCAGACATGTACCGTCTGACATACGGCTATTACTTTGGCGGCGATGCTGGAGATGCTTTTGATGGCTTTGACTTCGGTGATGATCCCAGTGACAAGTTCTACACGTCTCACAATGGCATGCAGTTCAGCACCCACGACAAGGACAATGACAAGTATGATGGCAACTGTGCTATGCAGGACGGCTCTGGCTGGTGGATGAACAGATGTCATGCTGCACATTTGAACGGCAAATACTATCAGGGTAAGACCACGTGACTAACACCAGTGCCAAACCATTTCATTTTGTTCACTTTGAGGCCCAATAATTCAGAAGTACATGTATGTTTTCATTAGTGTATAATCGTCTGAAAATAAGAAATGTGTCTTTGTTATCTTATCTACAAAAGAAGCAGGTTTTCTTCTACAGAGTCCACCACATTGAACCACTATGTTTTCCATAGTAACCTCTCTAACACTCTTGGAACCGAGCTGTATTTAGTTGGTTGCAATCTGCGACTTCACTGCTAGATGCCACTAAATCCTACACACTGGTCCTTTAACAAATAAGCAACCAGCACCCACATGCGCAGAGACAAACTGTTATCCAATCACATACATTTGTAAAAATCATTTGAGGTCTAATCTAAACTGTGTTCTCTTTCCTCTAGGTGGCAGGTACACAGAAAAGGATGCCGGTGAATTTGGCTACGACAACGGCATTATTTGGGTCACATGGCACAACCGCTGGTACTCCCTGAAAGAGACCACCATGAAGCTCATTCCCCTTAGCCGCATCACAGCTGGTGGACAGCAGACTGGGGTGAAGCAGTTTGGCGGACTTGGAGATGTTTAAAAAGTACACTAATACAAACGCTTGTAGTCTGTTTAGGCTGCAGTTATTATGTGTTCAGTGCAACGCCTTAAATTAAATAACAGGTCTCCATGGAAAATTCTTGACTTCATGATGTGTCCATGTTTTTCTGATCTGACCTAGCAGGACACTTTCCTTTTCTTCTTCTGTGCTATTTTGAGTACTAACTAGATGTATTTTCTTTACCAAATGGTTTGTCATTACTTCATTGGACAGTTTTAGTTGGACTGAATGGCCAGCCTGCAGACATAACATAGTAAAGTCCATGTGGCCAGCAGCTGTTTTGTAAAACAATGTGGAGACGAGACAAAAGCGCCTTGTAAAAAACTTTATCAAGAATGGTGAAATACGATATGTGTCTGAATTGACTGCAAACAATTGTACTATTTTGTCACAGTGACCGAAAATATACACAATATGGAATGCACACAACCTCATAAAATAAATACTGTCTTAAACATAAACGTTTTTTCTGCCTGTCTAATAAAATGAGACAAATTTAATAAAAAAGAACATGACTGTAGCACAGTATCAGTAACCATTAAAAAGATTAAAAATCAACTCCAGACATGTATTACGACATATACAAATAGTCTGCTTGGAACAATCACGTGTATCTGATAAATTTTTTCTGCAAAAAAAGTACAGTTTCCACACTACTCCTTCTACCTCATAAAAAATTCACAAAACTATGAATATGCAAATTGTGTTCATTTCTAAAATTTTCCTGCTGGACACAAGATGTCTCCTATATGCTGTAAAGTTGCATATGTGCACTGGTGGTTTCAAGTTTCTACATCACCTGTTCAGTGATTCTCAAAGCACTTCTAACATGAAAAACATATGAATTTAAGAGTAAGTTATTTAAAATAAATTGCTGATGATATATCTTGTAATGGGTTTTTCTTACCTCTACTTCGTGTGCAAAGATTTTCAACTTAGTTTCAACTTAATATGCTCTTCTGGATGCCTTCATTTTCAAGCACTGACTTACGCTTATTTGTTCAACAAATTACCGATGCAATGAGCCAATAAGAAGTGTTTTTTATTTTATTTTCCTCACTAAAAACTCAACGTTACAATTTACAGTTCAGCCTAGACAGGTTATTTTTATTAAATAAACTGCTTATTTTTCAGGGGCTGACCCCAGAATTAATTTGAAATAATATCTTCTAAGACTAACAGCAGGAATTATATAATTAAAATTCCTTTTTTAGTATCACAGGACAACAAAACCACTTTGTGACTGAGTTATTATAGCCAAGTTCTTATCAGAGCGTCACAGATGCCATGTTTATTTTGATCCGCATTTGGACACTTTGCAGTGTGTACTAGTAGTACTTGTCCTCATGCATCATCAATTTGATAACCAGTCCAAATTCCATCTGACTCGTTTGAGATTTGCTTGTGCCAAATGACAAATGCCTTTGTATCGCCTATTATTAGCGATAATAGTGAAAAAAGATGATTATACAGTCTCCCCAAGTCCCGAAGGTCAATAGGCGTTTCTCATAATAATTCCAGTAAAACTTGAAAGGAGAAATTTGGTCCTAAACATGATTGTTTGGTTATAGTCCTACTATGCCACAACATAGCAACAAATAAACTTTGCACCAACAAGGTACTTTTTTTTGGATTGGATAACCATTAATTGATGGGTAAACAGTCCCTGATACATGGAAAACCAAACCAAACTTTGGCCTGTGCTCACTGCAGGTTACACCCACAGACATTGCGTTCATTGTATCAATATATAGACAATAATTATCCAAGAAAATTCCAAATGTTGACATTTAGGGTATATATATATTATCCCGTGGAAAAGTAGAAAAGAAAACTGTTTTTTTAGTTGTGTTAATTTTGTTTTTGCAGAATTGTGTGATGTCTTCCTTACCGGTAGGTGGCGCTGTTAAAAATACCAGCTGCTTATTGGTGTTGTTTACGTCCGGGTCGTACGGTCGTCGGCTTGTGGTGATGGTCATGTTTTTGGGGATTGTGATACATTTCTGAGTGCGACCAAAGCTATAAACATTGGAAAAAGTATTTTCTTCAGCTGCGGTGTTTCATCCGTGTTTGTACCACCACGATGACTGAGGTAAGCCGAGGTTTGAAGTCTTTTTGTGGCTTTTTGTGCGCTCCCGCTCCGGCGCTACTAAAACGTTGGGCCCGGCTAATTCCTGAATCGCGTTACGTTTGTGACACGATTTCTCCTCTTCATACCTTTTATATATTGAATAAAGTCGTGTATGCATGTTGCCATCTATGTACTTTCTACATTTAATATAACTTAAGACAACTATTCTCTTCTACAGGATGTCCAGAAGCACTCAGTCCACACTCTGGTCTTCAGGTCTCTCAAAAGGACGCATGATATGTTTGTGTCCGATCATGCGAAATCCGTCGCCATGGATGATGAAAGGTAATTCTGGTTATTTAGATTAAAACCTGTTGCTGAAGTTTTCTGAAACTTCATTTCCTTTGTTTTCACTAGTACATTTAAAGGTCTCAACTGTTAAAACTGGTGTAAACCTTATATATACTGTCAAAACCTGTCCTTTGTCTCAAACGTTAGACTGGTCCATTTTTGACTACTTCAAGTTTTTGCTGTAGATTAGAAAACTGCGATTACTATAGAGAATAAAACAGTAAAATTGCACATATTTATATTGCTGTGATTAGGATAAACAAAATTATGTTTAGTACCTGTTATATAATATAATATTACATTGTACAATATGTGAGAAATGTGTGTAACATTTAGCAGGATCTATTGGCAGATATTTAAAATAATATTCATAGGTTTTAGCATATAATCACCTAAAAATAAGGATTGTTGCATTTTTTTGGTATATTAGAATGAGTTATTTTTTATCTACAGAGTCTGCAGTGTTGAACCACCCTGTTTCTACAGTAGCCTAGAAGGGACAAAACAAAAAGTAGTTTGTAGTAGTTTCTCCTGCAGTCTTGGAAGGCTGAGCTGTATTCAGATGGTCACAGGCTGCAACTAGATGGCGCTGAATCCTGCTCCTTTTAAAGGGTGTATTCCCAATATTAAAACATCTATCACTATATGACAAGTGCATCACATGTTTTTTCAGTATATTGATTTGTCACGTATTTTATTCTCTGGATTAACCGAGCAATTGATTTTTAATGTACATCCGTATTGAGATATAAAGCGACCGAGATAGAATCTTGTATCCATATTGCCCACTTCTGGTCAAATAACCACGTCATTGCTGTATGAGTAGAGCGAGCAGATGAGTGATATTGAAGGAAAAATGATGCATCAGTGTCTCCTGTATTTCCAGCTTCAAGATAAAGATGGGTGTGAAACTGAAAGCGGACTATGGTGCGGTTTTACACATGCCTGTCCTGAAGGAAGGAAAAGACAGAGTCTCACAGCTTCCTGGCAGTTTGCAGGGCCACCAGATCTACACACAACCAGGTGAGGAGGATAACAGTGGATTGATGCAGACATTTTATTTTCAGGCCTCCAGAAAGCCCAGTATTTAATTTTATAATTTTCAGATCATGTCCTTGTTTTCCTGAACTTTGAAGCTGTAAATCTCATTAGTGGTGTGTGGGGTTTGTTTCTTCAATGTGTTTCAGGGGATGACCCAGAATACCTGATCACTGGGACACATGCTTATCCCTCTGGACCTGGTAACTACTATGCTATTATTTTAACCCAGCTGCAGGCTTGTAGTTGTTCTGATGCCATTTAAAGAACCGTGTGGGCTTTATTGTAGTGTTTTACACCAGTGTTTTCCGTTCAACAGGAGTAGCTTTGACTGCTGACACAAAGATGCACAGGAACCCAAGTGAGGGAGGAATCCACTCTATGGCGCTGGCTTTGCCACCCTCACAAGCCAGGTAAACCTTTTTTTTCCCCCTCCACAATGTGTAAGTCGAGTCGGTTGTTGGCAGTAATTCGGCATATACACTTACATACAATAATGGTCACGTTGCTGTCGAATTTTAGGCAGGACGCAAGCCGCACTGCATCCAGCATCAGTGACATCCATCGACACGCAGGAGGAGCAGAGAGATCTCACCCTCCGTCAACGGCTATGGTAGGTCGCAGTGTATTTCCACATTGACTTGTCTTATTTAGCCCTTGCTGTAAAATCCCTGAAAGAATTACAGAGCTGATAACGAATCTGTTTATGTTAGTCGCTCATGGAGGGAGGCGGCACCAGAAATTCTTCGCTCATGAGGAAAGCACCAACCATGCCCAAACCCCAGTGGCATCCACCATGGAAACTGTTTCGGGTAACTACAATTTGTCATTACTTTTTCAATTTTTGCTGTATTTTTCTTTTATTTGTAGTTACACTTAAGGCATCAATGCCAAAGTGAGGCCTGCATCTGGGATGCGTCCTGTTATTTTTTTAAAAGTTGTACATTTTGTCTCACAGGTCATCAGTGGTCACCTTGGCTGGGTGAGGTCCATCGCTGTGGAGCCTGGGAATCAGTGGTTTGTCACAGGGTCTGCTGATAGAACCATAAAGGTGAGTAAAGCTGAAAATAACAATCATTTCCCCCGTCAGTTATTTTTTTTTTGATTCATTATTTTACTTAAATTGTCTCGATGTATAAGAACAACACAATAAAGTACGAGCACGAAAGCTCCTTTTTGACCTCCGGAGCAGCATTTTGACAAAATAATTTTAATTTAAGGTTTGAATTTACTTTCTATCCCAGAACTTTAAACCACATGTAACGGTCTTTATCAGTAAATTGAAGTTGGTTTAGGTTTGTCATGTTGTTTTATTAGATTGATCACATGATGACAACTGAGATGACTTTAACTTACTGATTCAGACGTATGATATTGGAGCGCCTATTTACAATTAATTGATTCATTATTTCTAATCTCTATAAATCACCTCTTGTATTGATAACATCCTGCTTTTATTTAATCCATTCAGCCCATTATATTTTAAGTACGTTTTTGCGAGCCTTAATGGTTGATTGCAGCATTATTAAACTCTGCTGTTAGCGACCATATATTATACATTTTCCTTTGGACCAACAAGGCACATCAAAAGCAGTCTTTTCAGTATCTGCAGCTTTTATGATAAAGTACCTCCAGCTACCTCAAGATGGCACTGAAGAGACACTATTGCTGTAAATCTTTTAAAATGCTCATGATATGACTTGATGGTTATGTGCTTTGACAGATCTGGGACCTGGCCAGTGGGAAACTGAAACTCTCCCTGACTGGACACATCAGTACAGTGCGCGGTGTGGCCGTCAGCAGTCGCAGCCCCTATCTGTTCTCCTGTGGAGAAGACAAGCAAGTCAAGTGTTGGGATCTGGAGTACAACAAGGTATGGCATTATAGTAATGAGAGAGAGGTTAATGTGATTGTTAATGTGTGCATTCTAACAATGACAATCTCTGTATTAGGTCATCAGGCACTACCACGGACACCTTAGTGCTGTGTATGATTTAGACCTACATCCAACTATTGACGTGCTGGTGACGTGCAGCAGAGATGCCACAGCGAGGGTAAGCTCATAGTTTGCATATTTGCCCTTGAATGTATGAATAATAACTTGAATAATTAGAGATTCAGGCAACATGTCTGGTCTGGTCCTGGCCACGATTTGCCGTCTGTGGTTTGAGTTCAGTTCTTTATCTCGTGTTATGATTTCAAGCATGAATAACTTCTGGCTATCAGATGTCTGCGCCTGTCACTGTATACCTATACAGCCATTGTTGAACAATGGAGCGGTAAATAATTAAGAACATACACGAATTAAAGAGAACTCCTCACTTTCACTTGGTCTTGGTGTAGATTTCTGTTGCGTGTATCCAAGTTCAAATAGCATTCATTTCTCCCAAAAGTGTCAGAATGGACTGTGTTTTGGAGAAGCCATCCTTCCATCAGAGGAATGTAGTTGAATAGGATGTGTACATAATTAAGCCTCTGCATGGCTCATCAATGAAACTATATGGATTTCCCCTCTTTCTGTGCAGGTGTGGGACATCAGGACAAAAGCTAACGTGCACACACTAACCGGCCACACCAACACTGTGGCCACAGTGAGATGTCAGGCTGCGGAACCACAAATTATCACTGGTAAACTTACGTCTAGTAATACCAAACAAATGGCTCTGTATCATTATTAAGTGTTTTAGTTCAGCTGGCTTTTAAATATTAATCAGAGCTGATTTAACCTCTCACAGGCAGCCACGATTCAACCATCAGGCTGTGGGATTTGATTGCTGGAAAAACCAGAGCAACTCTGACAAACCACAAGAAGTCTGTCCGAACTATTGTGCTGCATCCCAGACAGTAAGTTACCTCAGTCACCCAACCCCAACATGTAGTGTTTCATCAGCTAATGTTAAGTATATTGCTGAAACAATTAAGTAAGTATGCTAAACGTTAGCTGGCTTCTGCTTTTTAAGTTTTGTTGTTTTCCAGTTTTCTGTCATATTAAATAAATTAATTTG